ACAACATTGCTTACAGGAGCGGTGAATGATGGAGAGGGGTGGTGGAAGATGCTTGGAAGGATGAAGATAGCTCCCTGGCTCCATCCATAGGCTGGCTCAGTGCTTGCCTGTCAGCTCCTGCAGACCTTACTTCGGTGTCTGCTGGTCTAGACACACCTCTTCTGAAGTGGTGAGGCCACTTCCTATCTTTTGATGTTGTACCTCTCATTTGTACTTTTTCTAGCCCGGGAATTATATCTTACATCCTCTGGGTGTCTGTTCTGAGTGATTAAAGTCTTTCCAGGAATGTCTCTGAGATGGAAGGTAGATGGGTACTGAATCTATCACATCTCACCAGCCTCCTTTTATCAACTTTTCAGTTAGCAATGGTTGCATGAGCCCAGAGCTCAGAGTTTGCTGGTGCTGGAAATGATTGAGGAAGTGTGAAGACATGGACCCAAAGGGCTTTAAACCCTGGCCTTCAGGGAACAGGTAATATATGCTTATTTTTGCAGTTGGCCAAGCTGAACCACCATGGAGGTAGGGCAGGGTGGAAAGTGGAGGCCCCTTAGGGCTGATAGTGTTCTTGGGGACCCGAATATTTATCAGAACAAAGTGTATTGTGCTCAACCCTGCACTGAGCCTTCCTAGAAGCTGTGGGGGGTGGGGAAAGAAAGGGGTGGTGTTAGGGTCGCACTTGACTCCTTTCAGGAGCTGAACTATGCCAGTTGAATGTGTGGGGTGTCAGGTAGAGCAGGACAAGTTAGCAATCTCAGGCCATGTGTACTCAGTGCCAAAAGAGGTCAGAAGTTTGCAGGGATAAAGGTGCTCAGAGGAAGAGAGGTTAACTAGTTTTCAGTGGTCAAAGAAAGTTCTGGAAAGGAGGTAGAAAAGTGGAGTTGAGAGTCAAAGCTACTGAGGGATTTTGATAGGGCTGAGAGGGGATTGTATGCTGTAATTTTTATATCCTCCACTTCTTAAAGGTTTAGAGGTGGTGCTTTGTAATAGTCACTGATTGCTCCATTAGTTTTAGGTTGAGTGTAAGACTGGTGTGAATTCTAAAAAGTTCCTTTTATCCCACTGTTTTATTTTCTCATTGTATCTTTTTTGCCTTAATTAGAGACATTAGACTTCCTGGATGTTTAGATTTAGTTCTTTAAAATTCTAAAGATAATCATTCTTAATGAATCTTCATAGCAAAGGTTTGTCTATCTTGTGTTGGGGTTGGGTGTAGTATATTCTGAATTTATTTGAAATCACCGTCCTTGCATGAATGGTTCTCTACTACTCACCCTATATTTGCTGACCTCCAGACCTATATAGCCCATTGTTTGCTGGATTTCCACCTGGATATCCCACAGCTACCTCAAAATTTACATTTCCAAAGCTTTTTGTCATATTTGTCATTCCCCATTCCCAACCTAACCCTAACTCTAACCCAGCCTAACCCAACCCAGGCGAGCCCAACCCAGCTCAGCCTCTTTATTCAAAACCACTATGACCAAAGCACTGGGGTCATCCCTGCCTCTTACTAAATCAGTTCCCCACCCTTCGCCCCATCTTCTCACCCATCCCTGCAACTTTAGCCAGGTTACCTCAGCATGTGGCTTAGCTTAGTCAGTACAACCTGAATTGCTCAGTTTCCCCTAAAATAAAAATCTGACCCATCAGTCCCTTGTTGAACCCCCTCTTGTGGGTTTCCCTGTAGGGTGAAAACCAACTTTTTAGTGTGGCCTACAAAGTCCTCTTCCTGTCCCTCCTCCCTTCAAGCCTCGCTTCCTTGTTCCTTAGCAGGCATGATCTTGAGCGTGCGCACTCGGGTGCCTCCTGCGTGAGCCACCAACACAACTGCTGTTTCACTCGCCTCATTTCTGTATCTGGAAACCTGGGCATCTGGCACTTGACACCGTGTCTTTACTGAAGCCCCCTCTGACTGCTCAGCCAGGGTCACCCTCAGGTGGGTGTCTGTGTCACCTTGGATTACCAGGTTTTATTATAATTATATTTAAATTTATATGTGATGCTCTGTCAGACTGAGAGGGGAGGGATTACTGGCTTATCCTCCATGGACACTTCATTCTTGGAATGATTTGCAATCATTTGTTAATGGTTAAAATAGAAAGGATCTTAGATCTTCAAGAGTCTGTCTTAATTTAATTCTTTTTAAATTCATTTATTTACCCATTCACTCATTGGCTCTTTGCATAAACATTTACCAAGTACCTACTAGATGGGATTTCTCTCTCTCTCTCTCTCTCTCTCTCTCTCTCTCTCTCTCTCTCTCTCTCTCTCTCTCTCTCTCTCTCTCTCTCTCTCTCTCTCTCTCTCGGCAGCAAAGCCTTGATTAAATAGACTTAGAAGAGAAACAGCTGCCGCTCCTTCTTCCAGGAAGCTCTCTCCACAGGCCTTCATTTCAGAATCCTGGAGCTTTAGTTTTCTTTCGTCAGCTTTTTCCTTAATGGCCAAACTCATGGTGGCAGTGACAATGGATTCTGCATTAGTATTAAAAATTTATTCAATAAATAATGGATTAGAACCCCTGTTTAATAATTATTAATGCACTGCAATTTCAGTTGCCCAAATCTCAAGATGTTTTAAACATAACTAATTGAAAACACAATTAACAGCAACTTGCTGAAATAAATCTGAAAGGCAAAACACCCTTGAAAGTCTCAGACTGTAAGAACAAAAATTCAAAGGCAGCTCCCCTCCCCCACACTCTCCCAGAGGCAGGGTTCATGCTGGGATCAAGCTGGGATCAAGCAGAGATTCTGGGGCGATGGTGGCACCTGGCAGGGTTTGGGACCTGAAGGGTGCTTTGATGGCAGCTAGTTGGCAGTTATTGAAACTTAAGGTGACTACCTTAGCCTGCTGGGCGCCGAGGGCATTTGCCTGGCTGTGTACTGTTCTTAGGCATCTATGTGAGGTGGGGTCTCGGAGAGGCTAATTCAGTGACCTCATCTTTGGGAGCACCATCAAGCAAAGACCAGGCTCTATGGTCTGGCAATGGGTGGGGCGGGGTGTGGCCTTATGTCAAGTCACAGGATGGGCCAGTGCCAGAGCTGTGTCAGGGAAACCTGAATGCCCAGCATCTAAAGCTGTGCTCTCTCACCCACCAGCCCTGCTTATCCTGACTCAGCAAAAATGGTGCATCTGAGTGTTTGGATCAAGAGCCTAAGGCCAAGAGCCCTTTGACTTTCTTGCTTCAACAACAGTCAACAAAGAAGGGAAATGCATGGAGCCACATGCAGGATGCACCCTGGGCTGGTAGATGGATGTGAGGATCCTAGGACAGTGAAGTGGGGACTGACTTCTGGACTTTTCTCCCATTGTTCACCTTTTTTACACTTGTTGCTAATCCACTGTCTATTCCCAGAAGGTTCTTTCGTCGCATTCACTTTTTGGGATGGATGCACTGGCCTTGCAGCTTTTATCAGTTTCTCATAGACTCTTTTGGTGAATATCCAAAGAGACAGTGTGGGGGAATTAACAAGAGGGTTGTCAGCGGTAGGCACTCAGCACCCTGCGGTTCCCTTCCCTGCCAGCCTTGTCCACTGCTTCTGCGTGGCCAGTCCTTCCCCAGGACTCCCAACTCTGCTGTGGACATTCTTTTAAGAATAATATGGTGAGTGGACAGAGGGATGTTATTTCTGGAGAACAGAAGGTAGCTAGGGGGGAAGCTGTCACATTCCGGGGGCCAGTCTGGAGAGCAGAACATGAGATATGGCTCAGAGTACAGGAAGCTGTGTCACCAGAGCTCAGGATGGGATCTATTACAAAGTCCCTGGCATGCTAGGCTAGCAGACTTAACCTTCATCTTAAGGAAGACAATGAAAGGATTTTCAAACTAGAAAGGTATAGATTTCAGCTTAATCTGGGTACCATAGAGCAATGGTTCTTAAATTGTAATGTGTATCAGGATCACATGAAGGCATGTTAGCACTCCAATTGCTCCATCCCACTTTAAGAGTTTCTGCTCCAGTGGTTCTGCAATGGAGCCTGAACATCTGCATTTGGATTTCTAGGTGACATTGACACTGAAAACCACTGTGTAGAGGATGGCCTGGGGCTGGGCACTCCATGGGCACAGGACTATTCAGGAGACTGCACAGTGGACCAGCTGGAAGGTGATGAGGGCTGATCAAAAGCTGGACGCTGGGCCCTAGAGAAAAGGGGAGGTACTGCAGTGGAAGAGTCAGCAAGATCAGGACTTAAAAGGGTGATTGGAAAGACCGGAGAATCTTCCTAGTTTTTTCTAAGTGAGGACCTGAGAGTGTTTCTCATCGGGAAGTGCCTGGGGCAGAAGCTCCTGGTCAGGGTTGTCAGCCGATGCTTCTGAAGGATGGCTTGTGCAGGAGCAAAGAGAAACCTAAGGGTATATCCTCTTCCTACCTGCACCCTGAGTGCAGCAGTGGCCTCAGGAGCAATAGTTCCAGGTGGCACCACAGGCGAGGGTGCGTTCAGCAAGGCCAGCACACAAAATTTAAGGAGTGTTGTGCAGACTTGGCCTGATCCCCAAGAGCGAACACCCCAGTACATTTTAGGCTTCAGGCTCCTTCTTCACTCACCCTCACTCCAAAGTTTGGTCAAACTATGACCGTTGCTTCAAGTCTGGAAGGATCCTCATGAGGTCAGCAGGATGAGGAAGGCTGTGACCCTCATGGACATTCCCATCCATACTGGAACAGTTTTCAGCCTCATCCTTTAGCTTGAGGGCTCCACTCATCTGTTAATGGCTTGTATGGATCCAGCTTTGTGTCCACAGGACTGGTGAGGGGGCAGGTCCCCTGGGACCAAGATGGCTGGAGAGCCTTCCATGCAGCGCGTTCTGTGGGTGCTATGGACAGAGCAATGTCCCCCAGGCGCGAGCTGTGTCTGCTGTTCCCAAGCCGGCTGAGCCAAGGAACGCAGCCAGCTGTTGTGTAGAAGGGCAAAGATGGCTTCGGAGCTTCCTTCTCGAGCATACTTTTAAACATACTTTGTTGTTGTTTGTTTGTTTTTGTTTCTGTTTTTGTTTCAAGGACTTAATCTGAGGCATTCCATCATGGCAACCAAAGCAATCCAAGTTTAATCTCCAAGCATTCATCTCCCAAGTTCAGATTTTTCTTCCATCTTCTCAGCTGGTGCATTCCCAACTTCTGAATTTCTAAAAATACCCAGCGTGGTTCCCTCTACAAAACAGCAGCACCCTGCCAGCTGTTAAATAAATAAACTTGAAACAAAAATGCTGTAGTTGTGAAATAAGATATATTTAATTAAATAAAAGAAGGAAAGCTGGTGCTATTACAAGAACATAAAACTGTAAGGCATAAGAGAAAAACTAAATTACTACAAGGCAGCTCGATCCAATCTAATCCTTAAAGATAAAGATGAAACCAGAATATTGCATGTGTTGAGAAATCAACATAAGCCCTAAGCAAATATTAACTAGAGATCTATAAACTGGTTGATAATAAACAGTGCTATGAACATTAGGATTAGGGGCGGTAATGGAGACGAACCGCTCCAGAGTGGGGGCCTTCAGCTCCCTTCTGCCTCCTTCTGCAGGGAGTGTTTGTGGAATGCTCTTGGTGGAGTAACTTTTCCATTAGCTCATTTCAGTAAATCTGAGGGGAAAGCTTGAAAGACACAGAGAGGTACCTGGGAAAATTTCTATCTATAATTTTTTGGAAGACACAGAGATGGATGTGATCTCATTTTACCAGGCCATAAAAATGGAGCCTGCAGATAAAATGTTTGCCTTTTCCTGTGGGTTTCTAACTTAGCTATTGACATGATTTTAACAGTGTGTTTAAGCATGAAGAATGGTCCAATTACATGTTAAGTAGTCTTTTTTTTATAGTTCTAATAAAGGTTCATTTAGACATTTATACTGACAACTCAGTTCTTTGGAAGGGCATTTTTCAATTTGCCTGAAAAAAGAGTGGACAAAAAGCAGCAGCAGTAACAGCAGCAGCCTGTTCTCATCTGAGAATGTCTCCCCAGTTTTCAGAGATGCCGTGGGTGGAGGCTGGGTCTTCTGACGGGGAGTCAGCAATGGCAGCTGGAAAAATCAAGCTAATTCACAGGTGAAGATGCCCTTTTGGTCACAGTTTCAGACTCTGGGATAAAGACAGCTCCTTTGAGAGCATTCATGCATTTCACACCCCACACAGGGAGCTTCAGAACACAATCTGAATGGAAACCAACTCCGGAGAGTGAGGAGGGGCAGCTCTGACAGGCAGGGAATGGAGGCCTCTGTCAGATCAAGGTTCTGGGACAGCAAGCTGCTCTGAGGGAGCCAGAAGAAGCTTTGGGGACAGAGTTAATGTTCTTAGGCCCCTGGGGATGCAAGTGACCTGGGCGCTATTAACATAGCAGTGTTTTTTTTTTTTTTCCTTCCTGACAAAAGAGAGACACCTATGTGCTTTTTAGCTTTGGAAAAATCTCCATAACTTCCTGGAGGCAGGTTGAGTCTCTTCATTCGTTCATTGTGAGTCCTCTTGGGACCTCTAATTCTTGCTGCTAAATCCTTGAAGAAAGGCTCTGTAATGGTCCTGTTGGGCCACCAAAATAAGGCACTGTCTGAGGGGCACAACAGAAATCCATCCTCTCTTAGTTGTGGAGGCTGAAAGTCCAAGATCCAGGGGTCTGTAGGCTGGGTTTCTCCTGGTGCCTCTCAGAAGATGACTGTCTTCTCTGTACCACCTGAGCACCTACCCAAAATTTCACTTCTAATGACACCCATTATTCCAGATTAGGGCCCTCCCCAAAGACCTAATTTCCATTTAATTTCCTTTTAAAGACCCTATTTCTCCAGTCACATTCTGAGATATTTGGGGTAAGGACTTCAACACTGAATTTGGGGGGATGCAATATAGCCAATAATAGGATTAGATCTTAATCTTCTTTGTACATCTGAAAGTTCAAATCCACCTATTTTTTTTACTGTCTCTAGAGGATTATTCAACACAAGGAGGGTGGGGTGCAAGAAATAACCCTCAAATGTCCCCCCTATTTGTTAATAAAGAGTGGGTGGGGTGCAACCCTAAGTCAAATATTCCTTTTGTAAGATAAGGAAACTTGACTTTCAAAGCTCTGCAAGAGTGATTCTCAGCCATGCCTGGGCCCCATCTGTGGTCTGGGGTAAGGTCCTGACGTGGCTAATTTTTCAAAGCTCCTCAAGTGATTCTACTATGTAGTGAGGGCTGATAAGCCACTGTTCTTAGGGTCTCTGGGAGATAAATGTACCATCTTTGACACATTGTTGGACCCTGGATACAGTCTGCAATCTGGAGAAAAGACCATAATTTTGCATGATATTGGCCGTCAGGAGAATAATCTTTCTAGATAATATAGTCTTTAGGAAAATGCTTCTTTCTTATATGAATTTAGGTTATATTGTCCTCTGGATCTGAGAATAATTATATTATCCTGGGAGGAGAATGTGGGTGGGGGTGTGATGGTTGTATGTGTGTTTGTCTGTCTGAGATTATCTCAAGAATAATGAAATTTCAATGCTTTCTTGTCCCAATGAATTGGGCCTGGAGGGTCCCCACCAGGAGTGATTTGCTGAAAGCACCAGTGGGGTTATTCCAGATTGAATCAGTCCAGGCCTGGAGAGCACTATGGCCCCAGGATTGCTCTGTTAGCAGAAGGCCTAAATGAGTGGCTGAGTCCAGCCTCAGGTCAGTAACTGAGATGGCCTCTTTTCTGGAAGATGGTGGGCCCACTCTCACACTGGGAGAAACACTAAGATTCTTGTGTTGGGCTTATTATTTCTCTTGAAATTTAGGAAATTGGAACAACCCAATCAAACAATGGGCAGAAGCACTAAATAGGCACTTCTTATGGCCAACAGACATATGAAAAAATGTCCATCATCACTTTTCATCAGGGAAATGCAAATCAAAACCACAATGAGATATCACCTCATACCTTTGAAAATGGCAGAACAAGTGTTGGTGGAGTTGTGGAGAACAGTACCCCTCTTACACTGTTGGTGAACATGTAGACTGGTCCAGGCCCTATGCAAAGCTGTGTGGAGGTTCCTCAAAAGACTAAAAATGGATCTGGTATATGACCCAGCACTTTTACTACTGAGTATCTAAAGAGCACAACACCGTTAATTTGAATGGAAACCCACACTCCCACATTTATAGCTGCCCTGTTTACACTAGTCAAGATATGGAAACAACAGTAATGCCCCAGAACAGATGAGTGGATCAAGAAGATGTGGTACAGACACATGGTGGAATACTACTCAGACATCAAAAAAGATGAACTTAGGCCATTTGTGGCAGCATGGATAGAGCTGGAAGGGATCATGCTAAGTGAGGTAAGGCAGAAGGAGAAAGATAAACACCATATAGTTTTATTTATATGAGGACTATAGAGAAACCAAATAAAGGATCAGACAAAGACAAACCTTAAGACGATTCTTGAAAGCTGACCATAGATCTGAGGCAAGTAGGAGGGAGAGGGAGGGGACAGACTAAAAAATGGAGGGGTCAGGGAGGAGACACAATGGACTAGAATGGAGGACTGTGGGTGTTTTGGGAAAACTGTGGTGACCAAACCTGAGGGGAGAAATCCTATATTGTGAAAAACTAAATAAAAAGGATATGGAATTAAAAAAAATGTAGGAAAGCCATACTGCAGCACCCCAACATGATCATTCCTTCTAGCTACCCACAGCAGAGCCTGCTTGCACTTTCAACCTTTGCAGGACAAAGGGAAGACCTGGAAAGGAGTGTGGGGGGCCCTCTGCCTCTCATGTCCTGGGAAGGGTAGCAATGGGGGCACCCAGGGTCACAGGGACTTCTCTGGCTGCATGTTAGGGTCTAGTGAGTATGTCACAGCTATTCATGTCAGGACCCAGCTGTGTCAACTGAGTCTCCAAGGTCGGGCCGATGGAGCCAGAGTGGAGGGCCCTGATAGCAAGATAAATGATGGCCCTGGAGTTCCCAGCGGGGAAGGGCCAAGCCAGAAGGAAACTCCAAGGGAAGCTCAACAGGGGAATGAGCAGGTGGCACAAACTGTGTCTCCAAGTGAAGCAGACCAAGGTGGGCCCTGATGACATATGGGTGTCAGTGACATCAAACTGCTGTCATACTCCTGGCAAACCTGCAAAGAGCTCAGTATAAAGGCAATGTAGTTTCGGCCGCACTCATTAACACACTTGCATTATGTGCTTCTCAGGCATTTTGGATTATCTGCCAGAATGCAGGAGAAATAAGAAGAGGCAGAAGTATGCAAATAGTAAAGTGTTAGAATTGTTCTTATGTTTCACCCATGTGCATCTTCTTTCAATTCCTCCTACTCTACTCTCAGAATCACAAGGGATTGATCAGCCTTCACATCAGGAAATATTTATTGACTGTTAACCATGTGCTCTGCACATGGGCTTCCAGAAAGCTTACAACAGTGTTGTGAGGATAAAGTAGGTCCGTGTGAAAATATACATTGCCAGTCAAATCTAAATGCTTTGGGAATATCCCAGCTATACCTGATGCAGTTTCTTAGAGTTTGAATTTCTGCCTGTGAGTTGGAAAGAGGTTGGATGCATAGAGAGTTAGACACGAGCTAGGCCTTAAAGGATAGGGTGCTTATGGGCGGTGGGGTGTAGGGTAGGGCAAGATCCTTCTTGGCAGAGGAAGTCACACCAGGAGCAAACATGGTATACATTAGGGTTACAGGAACAGAGCTGTGAGGGTAGGTTTGCAATGGGGAAGATGTAAGAGGGCTCACTGTGTAACAGAGGAGGGCATTGGGGGCAGTGGGCAGAGTGTGAGTGAGTGGTGGGTGGGTGAGCGGCTGGTTATTACCTGGTTACCTGGCCATGCCCCCTGTATCCCCTGGGTCCCCCTCCTCCCCAGTCTGTGATGCTATGACAATGAAGTCAGGGAACCACTGAGAAACTACCAAAGACTTCTCTCTCTGAGTTGATGGTCCCTAAGTAGGCATACTAAGCAAGGGGGGGCTGCTGAGTAGAGATCACAGGGAAGGAGGCTGATAGGAAGAAGCAATTGCTTTATTTTAATAATAAAACAATGACAAAGTAGGTTAGATGTGGATAATTTCATGCTGGGCTTCAAAGCTCCTGAAAGTATTCTTGTCTCTTCAGTTGTCTCTTGTTAAAACTGTATGACCACATTCCTAACCTACCTTAAGGAATCCTATTTTCTAAGACATTAATTGTTTTCTTGAATTCTTTGAGATTTTCAAG